ACAATTTAAGAGACAAACTTGATATCAGTGAAATCATTGATATCTTCACTAGTGAGGATATGGAAAATACGCCACTCGAGTCCCGGATGTAGTTTTGTATGAATTTTACAAGTGGTGTATTTTCCATTAAAACACTCGTGTCTATATAATAAACTGGTATATCGAATGACATGACCAAATACATTATATAGTTTAGTTTTTGAGCATTATAATTTTACCTTGCTGGGCAACACAACAGTACATGTATCTCCTCAGATCAGTTACATGTTAAGACATAATTAAATCTCACCTTCATATTTTCCAAGACAGCCTTTGGTATAAATTTGGTCATGCCAACTTCTTTCCTGCAATCCAAGTCACACAAAAAAATTGATCAGATTGATGTAGATGAACCTCATTACCGTGATACATGTAGGTAACACTTGTCTAACACTGACCTACAAAATGGTCACCAAAGAAAGGAATGTAAAATGTCCAGCTTAGACTGTTAAAGTACATGAAGTTCAATTGGCCACTTTTGATATATTAAAATTCAGCTTGATAGTGAGGCCTAGAGGACACAAACAAAAGAAATGAATAAAAATGGTCATTCAGTTTCTTTTGTTGTGTCCTCTAAGCCTCATTGCAAAGCTGAATTTTAATATATTGAAATCAGTCTATTGCCACAGCACTGTCATCGACATTAACCATTACACTTTGTCCAACCACAGGAAAAGAAAGAACCCAATTATTTAATGAAGGACAATACTTACTCAATGTACTCAAAGTTTGACTTCTTATCAAGTGCAATTTGAGGCATATCCTTGAAATACCTCCTAGAAAACATCAAAAAATAACAATCGGTAATAATGAGTGCACATTGTTTTACCAGCAAAANCAAGTTTATCAGTAACTTAAGTTACTGTCACGGGTCACCCTCATTAAATAAAGTCTTTCACTTCACTTCACTTCACCTACAAAATGGTCACCAGAGAAAGGAATGTAAAATGTCCAGCTTAGACTGTTTAAGTACATGTAGTTCAGCTGGCCACATTTGATATCTTAAAATTCAGCTTGATAGTGAAGCCTAGAGGACACAAACAAAAGAAATGAATAAACATGGTCATTCAGTTTCTTTTGTTGTGTCCTCTAAGCCTCGTTGCAAAGCTGAATTTTTATATATCGAAATCAGTCTATTGCCACAGCACTGTCGTCGACATTAACCATTACACTAATTGTCCACACAACCACAGGAAAAGAAAGAACCCAATTATTATTTTAATAAAGGACAATACTTACTCAATGTACTCAAAGTTTGACTTCTTATCAAGTGCGATTTGAGGCATATCCTTGAAATACCTCCTAGAAAACAACAAAAAATAACAATCGGTAATAATGAGTGCACATTGTTTTACCAGCAAAATGATAAATACAAGCCAAGCACTGTGGAAGTAAAGTGTCTTGTCCAAGAATACACACAATGTCCCCAGCCAGGGCTCAAACCTGGACTGCTCAATTCAGAGAGAAGCGCACCAACCACGAGGCCACTGCGCTTCCCACATAATAATAAAACTTTATAATAAAACTATAATTCTCATTAAATACAGTTGAACCTCTTGTTGCAACCAACTGTCATAAGCAAACACCAAAATACCAAAAGTTTCTGAGTCAAATCACTATATTTGGAACCTCTTGTAAGTGACCACCTCTCGTAAGCGACCGCGACCACTTTTAGAACCAAAAGTTTGAAATTTTCTTTTGTTTTTAACCTCCGTAAATGACCACTTGACAGATAATAGAGTGGAAATTGGATAAGCCATTGTAACATTGCATTCCTGGGTAGTACGAGAGACGTTAATTTCTCAATGGGAATTACCAAGTTTATCTCAAAATTGACTTTTCTCATGAATAAAACATTTAAAACATGGGTAAAGTCCCTTCAGTTACCATAATGCTAATGAGGTAAAAGTTTGGCGTAATATGGTCTAAGCTCTCGTAAGCGACCCCCTCCCATAAGCAACCACCTAGGCTTGGATGGTTGCTTATGGAAGGTTTAACTGTATTAAATTTCTCTTCACCTCATTTCCAAAACCCCAAGTCTGAAGGCAGTATCCTCATCAGCTTTTTCACTGTTGTGTTGAAGGTAGTCATTCTTCACCTAAAGAAACAATCCAATTACATGAAGCTTTTAGCATTATTAGTGTAGGAAGTAATTTCATTCAACCCCTGGATAACATAAACTGAAATTAATAAACTAATCATTCAATTTTATACCCTGCAATCAGTTCTCACTTGTTTAGCATAGGAGAAACCAACTGCTCACAGGGTATCAATTTTAACAACAATCAGTAATTAAAACTTATTTTTCTTTCCAATAACAGTACATTAATTAGTGATGAGAATGGAGAAAATTATCAGCTAGAGGATATTGTTTTTATTGTCTGGCTGACAAATAGCTTTTTGTGTGTTAAAA